TGTTGCAGATGTTACACAGCTGATAGGCAGCGGACTACCGAGCATCTCCGCATCTGAGACATCATCGCGGGCTCCTTCCAAGAGCTCTAAGTTTCAGACTGGAGCCAGCATCCGAAAGCAAGCGGCAGCATGTCGATTTTCGTCTAGATTCTGTGACTGCCAAAGAATGGTCATATCCGCCGGAGGAGCTCGAAGGACCAACCTTGTCTGATCGCAACGCTGCAACGCTGCACGGCTGCAACTAGACATGATTTAGATACCAAGGCCCCTATCCATCGGTCGTCGTACGGACTTCGACTGTTATGATCCTGCCACACAATGTGGGCTTTTCAGGGGTTACCTGAAGGTAGCGCAAGTCTGCTGTTCGCCGAGTGGCACTCATCTCCGGAACCGCGATGAGGTGCATAACGCGGACATGATCTACAACAACGAATATCCTGCAAGAGTTCGCTATTGAACGATGTGAGGAGATGGCCAAAGACGTCAGCAAACCTTCGGCATTTGAGCAGCGGACATACGGGCTGCTGAACAATCTGCGGCTTTGATGCATTGGTCTCGAGCGGCACGCGCATCGAAACGCATCTCACTTTACGCTCTTCAACGCAGAGATCCCTTATTGGCCTTCCTTGCATCGTATCATGTTTCTATCAAGAGGATGTCCATTGCGCAGCGGCGTCTCCCGACGGAATATGTGAGGATCAGTTACTTCGGGGGCTGGTTCGACAAGGACCCTAATGAACCTGGTTTGATGGATTACGGATCATGGGGCGTCTCTTCCAAGTCCGCCATTGATCCGCCACTATCACGAAACAGCGTCACGAAGTATGACTGGCTGTGCTTCAGATCAACCCCCTTCGGCTGTTTGCCTTCGCATACATCATTCCAAAAGTATGTGCTTCATCTCAATCGTCTCGAAAGCTCTTCGACGGGTCATCTTCGCTCCCCCGTTGGATTGACCTTCGCTATATTCAGGGGTGAGAGAGTCTCTCACCTTGGAGGACCACATATCGTATCTGTCTCGCCCCAGAAAGAGATCAGTCTTTAACAGAACCCTGCTGCTGCGATCGGCATTTTGTTGAATACAGCAGAACTCACCTCGATTCCACCCTTACTCTGTCGTTTTCTGCTTGGAGGTAGCCAAGCCTGACTCGCCCGGAAACACGACTCCAACACCTGTGCTCAGGTATTACCTCGCCATGCATGCAAAATGGGTTTATGCTATACACTTCCGACATTCACGGCTCCATGCATCGGATTTGGTTATCAGCCTGCCGCTACAAAGATGTACCGGTTCAAAAGAAGGCATAGTTCATCACGTATCAAGATGTCGAAGCCTATGGCTGCGGACATGGGCTTAGGCAATATCGAAGCCACGCTCAAGAGTCAAAGACTATCATCAACGGTATCGCATACTTCCAACAAGTAATGCGCGACATCACGGGCTCGAGGCGAGACAAGCAACAACGAGATGCCGCTGCGCGTGATCAACTTCACCCATAACCCGTCTCAACTTGTTCCGGGTACCACCACAAACACGCATCGAATGCAAACACGACTGTTGAGCGTACTTGCACTACATGATGGCAGTTGCGTCTCTCCATCCCGATGCGCAATGCTAAACGAATGCATGCTGTGGGTGCAGGCGTGGGTGCAGACGTGGATGTGCGGACATCCGCTGCCAGACATGAGCGACGTCAGACCGGACCGTCATGCAGCGCAAACACCACGATGTAAAAGAGTCTTCAATGCTTCAGGAGATGTGCGCCATCGAGGCTACCCTGATCCTACCAGGCTCGACGTTCATGTCATGGCTGGTTGTGTACATAGCCTGAGATGTCACACACACTCCGGAACGTGCAACTCAGGCTACAGGAGCGAGCTCAACGCGACAAGCAGCAGCTCACGCCTAAGCGGAGCTTCGTCTCACTGGCAGACCCCTGCCTCCTCGCCGTCGTGGACGATGTGAAGCAGTCTCTGCACTCGCCGCCGCTGCCCCGCCCCGCGTAATCCCCGCACAAGCACGCGCCCCTTCGCGCCTCGAAAATCAACAAAGGCCACCATAGCAACCTCGAAGTCCTTTGGCTATATAATTGCTCTAATCTTGCCAATATCTAGTACGGCGTTGGGATGGTGACCCAACGTCGTACCCTGGCCGATGAGGCCTTGACAGAAAACAAGTTACTAACTTGTGTATCACCAGGTTCGAAAATAGGTGGTGGAGTTCCCGCGGTTGAAAGTCCGTAATTTTTGCTCTTTTTTGTTATCTTTTTTACACCGCGAAAGCTTGAGCAGGGCGTACTGCGACTAGAGGATGGTGCAGCCCTGTCTTTTATCTAATTACTATTCCACTGCTAAGGTAATATGTGATATCTATCTAGAGGCAGGTGCAACCTTTTGTGCTTGTGTAGAGCTCCTCTTATATGCTTTCCTCGAGAGGCGAGGCGGGTTGGTTCAGCACGCCCGCTCTTCCGAGTCTTCGCTTCTGCAGTAGCAACAGCAACAGCAGCAGCACCTTCGTTTGCGAAGGACGTCTACTTGGACTTTGCCCTTTTGCGTCTAGGGATGAGACTTAGGAGAGACGCAGCTTCAAGGTAAGCTGCTTTGACAGCAAGTCTGCGCTTGTCGGCGTGGACATGACATGCCAGCTGAAGGACTCGAGCGCGGACGGCTTAGGCCAGGACGCGAGAGCGACTTAATCCCCTCCAAGCGCAATGTTAGCATAATTGCTATATGCGCGCTTCGAGAAGTACTACTGCAATTCTATGGCTACGATCTATGGAGTGTCGCGCGAGATGACAGCGATACGCACTGCGTGATCGACTTCAGAAGCGCCAAACCGCACCTTGTCGCTGTAATAATCGCCTTGAGGGCCTCGAGGATACCTGACGGCATGCGCAGCATAAAGGTATAGACATCACGTAGGCCTCACGATCCAGCATGCTGCTGAGATGCCTCGAACTTCCATGGTGTGGATACTGCTGCATCGCTGCAAAGGTAGGTATGGGTCTCCTGTCTATTCATGTATCTTTCCTGCCTCATCTATCCATGTCCAATACGGTCTTGCGCCGCGGCGCCGTTTTCTAGGTACTAAGAGCTATCCATTACGCCGTGTATCACCCCGTCTATGCCCAGGTCTAGTATGGGGCGAGCTATCGGGCGCGAGGGTACTGCCAATGGTGCCAGTATGGGCTGTTGCGTCAATCCCCCTTGAGTCTTCCGCCCCTACTTCAAGCCAAGGCCAATGGGAGCTACAGCTCGTTCGCGAACAACGATGATCCGGCCATGCGAGTGTCCATGTAGTTCTGGACACTTGTAGCGGAGTCCACCTCCGGATCGAGGAGTACGAAGCGCTCGCCCCGGTTTGAGGTGTTGCCGTTGTAGATGTACTCGACCCGCGCTGGCGCCATGCGGAGCTTTCGTTGAATTAGCTTGCGGAGGCGGGTCAAACATAGGAGCACGTTGATCTCGAGTTCGAGAACCTCGTCGCGGTCCGCGGCGCTCTTGTCGAAAACTTCCTGTTGCAGAGGATTGGTTAGCCACGATTTTCTAGGCTGGGCGGATGTGCCTTCGAATCCCGACTTACTTGAAGATTCAAGGCAGTCCGAGCATGAAGCCTCTGTCTTCGCCGATCTCCCCAGGCCTGGTAGTGGGCGGCGCGCTCTCCCCAGTACTGGGCCTTGCTGTCGAGAGCTACGACCTCGCGCTGTATACCTTCGCAGATGACCATCTTCGCCACCTCATCTCTGCGCGTATCGGCCAAGTACCTCCTTGTCGCCTCCTCCGACCTCTTCATCTCTGGCGCGGGCATGCCTAGCTCGTATGTACGAGTGTCGGCTTCGTGTCCGGTCGCGGGGTGCTTGTGGGGACGGTGGTCTGTAGGGCAGCAAAAGGTGTCAGTCGCGGGTCGAAAAGCACGCTTTCGCTCGCGCAAAAAGACTTACTATGGAATTCGGGGAGAGATCCTCAACAAGATACCAAAGTCTTGGTCAAATCGAAACGTGGTGGTGCGGGTGTGTGGCGGGGTAGCGAGAGGGAGTTGCGTCTTGATAGAGGCTTCGTCAATACGAACCGACGCTATGACATTTCGACTGTACTCGTCAAACTCTTACACACCTGTTAAAGATGTATCTTGCATCTGCGACGGGTCGCACGACGAGGAGAAGATGCAAAGGGCCTGCGAAAGTGTCTTTCCGATACGTAGGTCATTACACCCTGCACAGCTTCTATTGGATTTCAGACGTCCGTTCACCTCCGGACGAGGAGCAAATGAACCCCTACGTTAAGCACGCATCTCTTTTGTTACTGAACCTACAACTATGCGCCTGAAGCCGCTTCTGTTATGGCAACGACAGCCTCACATCACGAAACCATGATTTACGCCCGGCTGCGACTCTTCATCTTCTCAGCATGTTCTCTTTGTTTTTCTTTGATGCTCAGTCTTCCACGTCGCTTTACTTCCCAAGCCGACAACTTCCTTGTCCTTTTTCACATCTTCTCGCGTCGTTGGCGAAAGGCGTCTCGTAGACGAAGTGTACGAAATCCTGGGGAACATAGACGGGCACACAGGCCTACAGGGCTTTTTTCATAATGTAACAGCGGTATCATGTGCATATTTTCAGGGGCCACGAGCGATAGGAAGGAGGATCTCAATGGCCGTTCGACGCCTTGTAGATTTCAACACCAACAGAGCTATCATCACTGCTTCATAGCGTATGTAAACATGTGAGGGTGATGCTGATTGCAATGAGTCTACCTATCGAGTTCTACACTCCTTTCCAAACACAACACTCTTGCACCGTTCCTTATTCCATATCCACAATGCTCATTACAATCTCGTCCTACAACGTTGATACCCATCACCACAAGCACTAAGGCAGCTCACTCCTCCCTCCGGTACTCACCCGTCATCTCTGGATATGGCGCCTGTGACCCCTCGACGAGCACACATAAGACGAAGCTACAGTCAACCGAAGTTGCACAGCAGTATAGCCCATTGGTGTCTACGACCGCCACTCCTCGTTCGCGAAAAGCGAAGACCCGCCCATGTTCTCGTCCATGTAGTGTCGAACGCTAGTCGTCGAATCTAGCTCGTGGTTTAGCAGCAGGTATCGATTGCCTGTCAAGACGTTAGCGAAAACAGGAAGCTGTTGAGAGCGGTATCTAAGCTGCTAGAGACTGTAGCGCGTTGTTATTGACTTCCAATAAACATTGCTGTAACATGTCGACGGAGATAAAACATACTACTCAAAAGTTAGCGAAGAATCTTGATTGTAGTATGAGTGCGTGACTGACCCGATTCCAGCATGCTTACCGCAGTCAACATATCCTTCCTCAGTAGGAGGTATACCGAGCTGCTCTTGAAGCTTCTTGCGGGCCGCGGTGATGACGACGAGCTTTTTGATCTGCTTTTCTAGGTCGTAGTGTTTGCCCACCGCATGCGCTGACCATTGTTCCTGCAATGGCTCATTAGCAAATGTTTGATTCAGGGTGCTGAGAGGGAAGAAGGGGTCTCGTTGCTCAAAGTACATACAAGCGAAAGTTGAGCCTCCTGCCTACGGACGCCATTTCGAACTGATTGGAAGAAGTCTCGCTCTTGCCGATAGTGGAGGGCTTTGTTGTTGTATGTCACGGCCTCGCGCTGCAGGTCGTCGCAGAGACGCATCTTTGCGTGCTCTTGGCGCTGCTTGTCTTGCCAGAGTTTGCGGAGGCGTTCTTCGGTATTGGTTGAGGACATCGCGGTGAATCTTCGTCGACTTGGCGGTGGAGTATGTAGTGAGGTCGAGGGACTACAGAATGGTCAGTAATGTAATCGCACGAGATTTGACCTTGGAGGAATGACCTTGGAGGAATGACCTTGGAGGAATGACCTTGAATGACTTGTGGTTGTTATAGCGAAGCTCGTGAACGAGAAATTGAATATATTGGACGGTGGTGTAACTCTTGTCTAGAAGCTGATCGAGGAGCAATGAAAGGTCGGGAGTCTTGTTCAGTCGAGCTCGTCCGATCCTTTCACTGCTCCTAAGCGCTAGAATCTTCGCCATAGCGCGAAGGCACCTACTTGTGACACTGAAAGCTGCGGTCGTGTTAGTGAGGTCTTGAGCGCGTGCTTCACGGTATAAGAGACGCTCCATAAAGCGAGCACGACGGAGTGGGAACTCTTGAGCCGATAGCACTGCGTTAAAAACCTTGTGTACTATGTGAGTGTTTTGCGCAACAAGTCGAGTGAGCGTAGTCTACTAAGATGATCTGCAAGTGAAGAGAAGAGCCCGAGTCATTTCCCAACCCACCATATTGTCGCGGCAATAACAGCATGACATTCTGACATGAACAGAGGATCTGATGCAAGACAGTTCGAGAAATTGACGTAGAAGAACGCGTGCACATGGCCTGAAGTGTGGACGAGCAGTGCGGGATGGTGGTCGAGGAGCTTCTTGCGGTGAGTCACCGTAGCTCTGCCAAACGCCGCATGCCTGCCACGCCAACAGCGGCAATGCCATGCAATACTGGAGTCTCTCGCATTTCCACTGAGGTTAGAATAAGGATCCAGCTAAACATGGGCAGCAGGGCCGAATGCGCCAGTTGTCATGCGTGCCGATCCGTGGTAACTCTCGGCTCGTCGGGGGGATGGTGCGGGCGACACTAAGCCTGTTTCTCCACTAGCCCTCCTGCCATTGGGTGTCTTCGCACACATGCCACAGCGACCCTCTTTAACCTCTCAACCCTAATTCCTCTGCGCTGCGACCGACCGAAAGCGCCAATTACTAAAGCAGCTCTATGAGACCCTTCGTGCCCCGTCGCCGTGATGTTCATCGCACCCGTGCCCTCCTCCATCACCGCCTAGGACTTCCCAACGAACTCGTCCTCGACATTCTGGACAAGGCTCGTTACTGGGTCGAGCACGTCCATGAAAATGACAGGACTCTTGTGATTCTGGACGAAGAGTTCTCCGACAACTTCTCCGCCGCGTCTCCATTAATGAGGATAATCTTTGACAAGCCCGAAACCACGCATCACGAAACGCCCAGACTCAAAGAGATAGAATTTCTGATTGTCAGCCACGACCAGGGCTGGACAACAGAGGGTAAAATTGGCACATACGACACCTCTTCATGGTTTGAGGTCTCTATCGTGCGCCCGCAGTATCCGACAAGCGACATGGACTATGAAATCGTCGCTGAAAACTTCGAGGACAACATGTACCCCCAAAGCAACATCCACAGCGTCATAGACAACATATGCGGTGACCTGGGCTTCAGCAATGTACCACGCTCGCCATCGACTACGGAGCCACAGAGGTTACACTGCGACGAGATGCGGGCTATGACGTTCCTGCATGATGACCCGTCACGCCCGATGGGTATTGAAGGTCAACACGCTTGGTATCTGCAAGGCAACGAGGTCGCAAGAGCCACGTCTGTCTTTGATGGCGACTTCATTCGGAGATATCGTGTTGTCTGGGGATGTAGAGAAAATCCAACATGGGAAGGCAACGAAGGCTCTGGACGTGGCGAGAACTTAATTGACTCTCTACAAGATGGCGACTGGATCTGCGTATGGGCAAGAGCGAAGGTGAGCTGGTTTGTTTCAGTGTTATTTGCATTGACTAATATAAATCAGAGAAGAGGATGGGAAAATCACGTCCATGGCATACGTGTCACCACGCGCTACACCGTATAGCCAGTACCAAACACGCCCATAGAGTGTGCTTTGATGCATCTTCATCTACGCAACTACCCGCGTACTGTAATCTCCTCAGTAACAGAGGTCACTGTGTTCGGTGCCACATGCATCGAAACGTTTGTCCGCTTGTAGCTTGACGTCTTCCGACATACCCTCATCGGAGGCATCAACCCCATGCGACAACATACCCTCTTGTTCTCCAGAAGCGACAAAATTACCAGTAGCATCATTGATGTCAACTGGTCCTCCGCGGACCTTGGCTCGAGCTTTTGCGATGTGCTCAGCCTTCGCACGATCCCGTTCGCCAGCTGCCGCTCTCAGGTCCGCTTTGAAGGCACGAGCAGCGGCCGCCTTTTTCTCAAGTGCGGCTTGCTTGGCCGCCTCAATCTGGGCCTTCCGTTCCTTGCGGGCTTCGGCTCCACCCTTGGTTGCTTCGACCCGCTTTTCTTCGGCCCGTTCAAGCTCGGCGGCGCGCGCGCCTACACGAGAGGACGGTGCAGGTGTCGGCGATGCATCAAAACGGGGTTTTTGGGCAGCAACATCTGATCTAATCGATGACGATATGCGTGCAGGAGCAATTGACTTTGTGGGCGCACATGGTGTCTTCGGACGATGTTTCTTCGCGATTGGCGTTGTAGGCATCTCTGTCCGCCTGGGTGCTGAAGCCTTTGCTGGTCGCTCCTCATGCTCTCGCTCACGAGAGTTCAGCTCATCCACGTATTCGTAAGTGGCGGTGGCACATCGAGCCTTCATCACAGGGTCGGCTGCGTTCTCGAGCTCGGCTTCTTTCCAGATCTCCACCAGGCTCTTGAGCTCGTTTACACTCAGACGTGCCTCAGCCTTGCGACGTTTCTCGCGCAGCACTCGCCAGTATTTAACTTGCTCACGTACCCGAGCGCGCATCGAGTTCTTCTGCTCCTCTGTCGTAGGTGCTGTTGTGCAGTCTTCCTGTGTAGAGTGAGGAAGATGGTGAAAGGCAGACGCTTCGTCGATGACCTCGTCATCCTTCCCTGCATGCTCAGCGTCGTAGACAGCTTTCTGGCTCTGGTCGTCTAAGACATTAAATGCTTCATGAATTTCATCAAGCACAGCAGCACGCGCAACGCCCTCAGCACCGGCCATCTCCGGGAGCTCATCGAAGTACTTCAGCACCAGGGCTTTGTACGCTGCACTTATGACTTCCGGTGTTGCGTTTGGGGCCAGCCCAAGTGTTGCATAGTGTGTTCGAGTCTTCATATTGGAATTGGTCTCCTGGGGTATCCTATCGGTATGGGCTTCTGGTGTCCATGCTGGTGTATCTGGAAGTACTGGTTTATATCCCTACTCCGCGGAGTGTGTAGACATTGTGTATCGACGACTCACTCGACACAGCGTTGCGATCACTACTGACACGTCCATTACATGTCTCAGACATACAGCAAGACAAGAGTTATCCGAAGAGGAGTAGAGGTTGCGTTCACAAAACAACCGGTCACGATGCATGGACGAGACACCACAATGTGGGTTTTGGGAAAACTGGACTTTGCCCAGTACCTCCGGCTCAGCATTGCCGCGAGCTCACTGCAACCCATGGACGCCTCATGCAGATATTGCCCCACCCAAGCGCGGGTCTTCGCGATTGCGAACATGCGAGCAAAACACGGGACACTGCGCGCTGGTATTGCGACGCTGTCCGGCGGCGCAATTTAGGTAAAAGCGTGGAGGACGTTGGCAATCGTATGAGAAATATGGCGCAATCCGACGCGATCGCCATTTCCCATGGCTGCCAAAAAGGCAATTGTGGCAGTGGGGTGCGCTGCCCATAAGCGCATGCCGGTGGGCATTTGTGTGATTCTCATAGGGTGGCACACCATCGCGCCTGCAGGGAGCGAACGTCAACCCTCAACCCCCTCAAAAGGCCAGCGCGAAGCTCAACAACATTCCCCCGACCCTGAGGCCGACGATCAGAAAACGAACGACAAAAGGAAAAGACGCGATTGCGCGAGAACGCATGTTGCCGATGGAGAGTAATGTCGGAAACTTATCTTCAGCAAGCTTTTGGGCAGCCGACCTTCACCGACGTACATGCGAATGGGAATTCCTCTGGACGTGATCTCTTCGACATCCTCGACGCCGCCAATCTCCATCACAACCACGAATATGACCCCAGCGGACAACACCTACATTCACTGCACATACAGTCTCAGGATGTCATCGCGCAAACCCAGCAATTTGCGTATGCATTGCACAGCAGTGGTGTGTCGGCACCAGGTAAGCGCAACCCCTCTATTTATCTCTATCCCATCAATTTCATGTACATCATCCCCAACGAGTTCTTTCTCCCTCCCATTAGGTCCTTTGCCTACGTATGGATGTCATTCCTGTGCCTCTGAGTTGCCAGGCCTGGATGACGTTTGTTCGGGATGGGATGGCGTGCTCTCGCTAGCTGCACGTGATCGAACGCGGCGACGGGACTTGCGACAACTGCATACCTGCCTAGGGAGGTGTGTATGCAAGCTGTGCACAGACGCATGTTTTGCGTCAATCGTTCGATCGATGAAATACCCAGCGTTCACCGCATCTTCTGGGCTGTTTTTTGTTCGCCTCAGACAATGGTCACTAACGTCATTCTAAGGCCTACCGTACACCTCCGAGGCGCCTGCAATGCCGACCATGACAGGACACATCCCGCAACACTACGAGCACCACAGTGCGCTTCAGATCGGCTTTGATGATCTCCAGGGATTCTCTCCCGTTACACAAAGCTTCAACATCAACGCTTATCGCACGCCATACCCCGACAGCATCGCAACATCCACATCATCAGCCACATCACCCGAACGCACCAATGCAAGTCTCCTCACCGATCCGGTTGTTGTCGAAGCAGAAGAGGACAAGCGAAAACGCAATCAAGCTGCTTCCGCACGCTTCCGGCAGAAGAAGAAGCAGCGCGAGCAACAACTCATGGAGACAAGTCAAAAGATGCAAGACCGGACCAAGAAGCTTGAAGCCGAAAACGATGGGCTGAAGAAGGAGAACATGTTCCTGAAGAAGCTGCTCGTCGAGAAGGTGGATCACATGAGCGATGAAGATCGGGAGCTGCTCAAGAAAGCCGCCGAAGGCGCGCTAGCTGGAGTAATCGGAAAGAAGTCTTGATTTGTTCGTTTCCAGGAGTATTGGAGTGTTCTCGACGGATGATGTTTTCTCAAGTGGAATGATACACGGTGGATGTAATTGGAGGCTTAAGGCGCAATTCATATGCGATGTTATGGAGTTCATATACCAACCCTTTTACATTCTTGGCACGTTCGATTGCGCCATGAGGGAAATACGCATTCAATTTGAAGACTATAGCAAGTGCTACTTCGGCGATACACGCTACCTATCCGCTGGCACCGATTTCGTTTGCGGCAAATAGGAAACCGATGCGTACACTGGGAATGGTTCGACGAAATCTGGGCGAAACCCAGGCAGGCGCCGAAGGTCACGTCGTTGCGCATCTTTCAATCCATTCAGGGCGTCTTCAATATCTCCACCCATGAAAGCGTCTCCCCAAGCCTGGTATTGGCGTATACGCTCAGCGGAATCCGACCACGTGTTTGCCATTGTCAATGCCAACAGGCACGTACTGTAGCTTTGCGCGGGGCTGTTGAGTAATGTCGTCTTCAGTTTCCACCCCAGCTCACAAACATTTGCTATAATCTGAATCCGATCAGAAAGAACCTGATTCTCGCGTTCCTTCATCTGTCCTTGAACAGTCTCGATAGCATCGGGTATATTTGCAGACCTCAAGCCCTTGAGTCCATGTCCGAAGAAGTACGACTCGAGTACTGAGTCACCTAAGCTCAGTCCTTCGCATAGGGAAAGGAATGATCTCAGCTTAGCTTGATGTACAGTAATATCCCTTTCAAGGGTTGGAACGGAAATCTTCGTGGAGTTCTCTGGTGAATCGAATGCATTGTGATGCAATGGCGGCATAGGCAGAAGATACACAATATCTGCGGCGCGATGTTGTTCGTGGAACGTCCTGGTACGCAATCGTATTGTCAGTCTCTACTCAGAGTATTCTCAAAGAAAGCTCACCAAGACCGAGTGAACCATGGGTCATCAATCATTCCCCATAGCGTTTTCTTGGCAGTGAGCATATAGGAAGATGTTTGCGAACAGGTTTCCGTATCCACCACTACATGGGAGAAATCTGGCAAACTCGTCCAACTATCTGAAACTTTTGAGAGTATAGCTGCAGTGATTCGGCTGGAGCCATAAATCCGATGCATGTCTTGCAAATGTTTCTCCACGTCGTTGGAATCGTCTTGATCAATACATTCCTGATCTATCCAGATACGCCTAAGCTTCGCACTTTCCGCATACTGTACGACGCGATGAAACACGATTGGCGGGCACCTGAGCAGTCGGGGAGGTTTCTTCAAGTTGGTGCCATCCCAGACACGGTATTCTGGAAGTTTTATTCCGCCAAGAGGTTGCGAATGACTCCATACGTAAGTTACTGTCATGTAATCCCACCCAGTATACGGGTCGGTTAATCGAATTTCGCGAGCGGGAGTGAGGATGTAATCGAACGCCGTTCCCCCTCGCCGATAACGCTCTAGGAACCGAAGACGGAGTGGTCCTATTTCGTAGCTTTGGACGAGTGCGATGCGCTCGATGTCTTCGACTGCGGAGAGGAGCGCTTCTTTGTCTCCGTGAATCTGGCAGAACGTGAGTGATCGGTCGTCTTGCATGACTGTGGGTGAATGCTATGTGGAAGGACGGACAAAATTCGTGAGGTGGCATGCTCAGCCTTGCAGGGTGGCACAGGTGGGCAGTGCCAGCCGTTGTAGCGATTGGACGCCACCTGCGTATCCATCATTACCAACAACAGCACCCATCACTCGTTCATCAGGAAAGGGAAACTGTGCATCTATCTACAATGTCAAACAATAATTTGGAAAGATAGCTATGTCGCTCAACTTCTATTAGGTACTTCGCCGGACGAAGACAAGCCCCGCACTTGCCCGCTTCTAACCCAATTCGGCTAGCCCAGGAGGTTACGATTACTCACCAAAGGACTTATGTGAGCCTCCCCTCGCTCTTGCGAACACCCGAACTGCGATCTGACAAGGCTGAGGGACAGTCATTGTAAGCTCATGTCGCTCTTACTCGGCCATCGTCTCTCAAATGTGGGGCTGACCAAGCTCGGTCTGCTCGCTCCTGGCCATCGGCGCGATGCTGTCATGCTCCGATGTGAATGGTATGCGAGTAAGCATGTGGTGTCGTAAGATGGTATATATGCAGCAAAGATAGGCCATGGACAGAAACATTATCAACGTATTTCCAAACGCACTCAACACTCAACCCGACTATCAATTGTCTATCAAATCTCACTTCGCAAGCTCCACTCTTCATTGCATCCACATCTATAACCTCGAGTCTTCGAAATGGCAGCTACCATGCGCGGATGGCAATTCAAGTCCGCATCCGGACCCATGGAGAAGAACCTCTCCATCCCTTCCTCAGGCCTCCCGACACCCACCATCAATAAAGACGAAGTGCTCGTCGAGAGCCATGCGACAGCGCTCAACCCAATCGACCACAAAATCCTCGAACTCGGGCTCATTACACGCATGATCTTTTCTGGGCTGACACCTGGCTTGGATGTATACGGCCGCGTTGCGAAAGTCGGCAGTAACGTCACAAACTTCCAAGAGGGCGATATCGTATACGGTGGTCTCGTTCCGGGAGGCAAACATGGCGCTCTAGCGGAATATGTGCCTGTGTCGCACAATCTGCTGGCGAAAGTACCACAAGGCCTGAAAGGAGATGATGTTGTATCCATGGCGAGTACGGGCATGACAGTATACGCAGGACTGAAACCGTATGCTCGACCTGGCAACAAAGTCTTCATCAACGGTGGCTCGGGAGGCACTGGTGTCCCTGCTATTCAGATTGCCAAGATACTTGGTTATCATGTTACAGTGTCATGTTCAGCGGCGAACATCGAGTTAGTCAAGAGCTTGGGAGCGGATACAATACTGGACTATACAACAACACCAATCATCGAACAGCTGAAAGACAGCGGCGCCATGTTCGATCTCATCTTAGACAACGTGGGAGCACCGGCGAACCTGTACCGTGCTTCAAGCGCGTTCCTGCGACCAGAAGGAAAATTTGTTCAGGTTGGCATTGGTATGAATCTAAGTGCCGCAGTCCAGTTCTTCGGCAACAAATTGAGTAGCTTGTTGGCCTGGGGGAAGAGAGAGTACATCTTCGTTGCCGCAAATGCGAGCACCGCTGTGTTCGAGCAGCTCGCAACATGGATGGAACAAGGCAAGCTTCGCGCGGTTATTGACTCTACATGGGGATTCTCGGAGGTGCCGAAGGCGTATGAGAGGCTGAAGACTGGAAGGGCAAAGGGTAAGATTGTTGTGCATGTGAAGGACGATTGAGGTAATTGTGGATGTATCAATCTAGATTTCATTCGAGCGATTTGTAATTTTAGATCTTCTTTCCACTGGTAGCATTTTTATAATTTCAATAATATCGAGCTCTGCTATCTCTAGTTGCTGTGCTGTGGTCATGGCTTCACCTCGCCGATGAATTGCTAGTCCCGACTCTCAGTTGGCATCTGACATGCCGTCTCAGCTACACCAAGCCTACGTCTGCATTCTCCGCAACTGTTGAGTCACTCGGATGAGCTCTGGATAGAACTTTTAACCTGCAATCGACTTCCCCACTTGCCGATGTAGTGTAAAGAGACGGTTTCAATATACCCGACTTGGCAGCTGAGCTGTGGGAGCTTATATGTAGTACAAGCCTCCTCGCTGTGGTGCGCAATGCGAAGAAACCGACGAAACCGACGAAAACCAATATCAAGAATATCAGATTCATGCAAGTAAGATCTGGATAAAGATAATGCGGGGGAAATTCCCAAAGAAAGACGCAGAAGTTCGATCGTATCTCGGTTTGCGGATGCGAGACCGTCGAGAGATGAAGGATATAAAAGTACACCAAAGTCGAGCCCAAAAGGAATCTCCACAACAAGACCCAAGTACCTCAAATCTACTTCCGCAATCTGCAAACATCCACCACTATGAAGCTCGCCGCCTCTCTCATCGCCCTCCTTCCGCTGGCCGTGGTCGCAACGCCGATTACATCCCCCAATCCATCTGAAGAGTCTATCGCCAACCTTGCGCCCCGAGCCGATACTGTTTGCTACCTCAACTCCGATGCTCTCAAGAACGACCCTCAAGGTTGCGATACCAGTCCTACTAGCGGCACGCGCCGCCGAGGTGTAACGGGCGGCGACCGCTTCGGCGTGCGTTGCACCAAGACCGGCAAGTGCATCAACGGGAACTGTAAATGGGACTACGTTCCGGGCTGGAACTGTTACATCTGGAGTGGCTGGACTCAGCAAAACTGCGAGCGTAAGTGTGATCGTTTTGCTGGAATACGCTTATTGAGACGTGCTGATGTACTGATGCGAACAGGTGGGCTGCCGACTTGCTAGTTAGAGAAGGTGGTCTCCAGTAGAGTGATGATTATGGAAATAGTTCATAGGATGCGATGCAATGTGGGGAATGAGTGACCGGAGGGATTGGAATACACGTTCGCTTTGTTACTGTGAAGATCGGCGTTAGGATGAGACTACGAGAAGAGGCTATGATGAGAATGATCAATGTAACTGGCTTCTCATAAGTCATCCTGATGTGATTCTCCCATTTTGTAATGTAGCGCCCATCTCTTGTGTTTTCTTTCAGCACATCAGACCATGTCGGGGTTCCAGTGTTCAGTTATCGGACGGCTGTGTGTCACCAGTTGGGTACTCTTGCGAATATAGGCTCAGCATGAGATGATCAGATAGGATCTGATATCAGGCGGTGGAGGACGGGTAGCATTAAATGAAGGCAGTGAAGAGAATATGCTAAGTGCTAGGGGCCGGCAAGATGCGGCATGACGTTCTGCTTGGCGAAGCAAAAAGTTCGGAAGCTTTCCGAAAATCACGAGCGTCAAACTTTCAACATGCGCGCCTTGACGAGAAGCATACAACCCTTCTCCGCTGCTTTCACTCTTCCGAAACACGCCAACCGCATACGGTTATCGAATGCGACTCCCTTGCCGTCATGGACGCGCTCATTCCACGCGTCGGCGAATCTGAGGGTTGTCGACCTCGCGTACCGGCTTCATGATGACTCGGGCAAGGCCAACGGAGATCCGATTGTGATTGTACATGGCTTGTTTGGGAGCAAGAGGAACAACCAAGGTGTTGGAAAGTAGGTAACCTCTTATGGAACTGTCATAGCTGGATTGGGACTGACATGATATCCTAGTGCACTCGCACGCGTCCTCAAGCGTCCCGTATACGCCATCGACACGCGAAACCACGGCGAATCCCCCCACGATAAGGTCCACAACTACACCGCCCTCGCCGAAGACGTAGAAGCCTTCCTCCAGAAGCACGAGCTGAAGAATGCGACACTCATAGGCCACTCGATGGGCGCGAAGACAGTCATGACCATGGCGCTGAGGAACCCAGACTGCTGCGCAAACATCATACCAGTAGACAATGCACCAGTGGATGCGGCACTATCAAGCGACTTCCCAAAGTATGCAGAAGGCATGCAGCACGTCGAGAGGTCACAGCCCAAGAGCCAAAAGGAGGCAGATAAGCTGATGGAGCCTTACGCAAAGGACCTACCAGTTCGCCAATTTCTATTGACGAACCTGATGAGGGGTGAGCCAGGCGCGCCGCTCAAGTTTCGCATACCTGTGGGCATCCTCACCAAGGCGCTCGACAACATGGCCGACTTCCCCTTCACCAACCCCGATGAGGCCTCCTTCAGCAAGAGAGCTCTCTTCATCCGAGGTACCAAGAGCCACTACGTGAGTGACGAGACACTACCGATCATTGGTCGGTTCTTCCCGAGGTTCGAATTAGTTGACATAGACTGTGGCCATTGGGTCATTAGTGAGAAGCCCGAGGAGTTTATCAAAGGTACGCAGACATGGCATGAGTTCGGTTTTGGTCTAGCTAACACGTTACAGCGGTTGTGGATTTCCTACAGGAGAAGGAGTAGATACCCAAACAGGATACAAGCAATACCACGTTATTTATAGACACACCTATGACCAGCGGAACACGATGATCGTCTCTGTTGCATGGCAAAGCATCAGACACCAAATTTCACCATATTGAAAGCCGGCTTGGAGAACTGGTTTTGTTGTTAATGAGCGACAGGAAAGCCAACACCTAATTCACCCGACTCAACAGATCCGTCTACGAACCTCTCCTCCCCGTACCGAACACCCTCCCACCATTCGCCACGAACTACTCCCACTCTATATCCCGACTACAAGGACTTGTACGATTCAACCCTGCCAGAGAAGCATTGCTCTACTCCAGGCTGGACATCCACAAAGTTACCAGCTCCACAGCCCGTGTTCACGTAGAAGCGAGCTGCAATCTCACGTTAGCCCGGTTCTGGTTCCCCCCAATTTCTGTCACATACTGGTTCTGGTGAAGTCATTGATATAGACCCTGAAGCTACCGTATGGCGCCTTGTACGAGTTTTCCGTGCACGTAGAATTCTGGAAGAAAACGTTGTCCTCGAGCCATGGCTCTTCGCAGCCCATGCCGGCGTAGAAGCGGATGATAGCGACACCGTCACCGGGAGCCTGACGCTCGACGACGGTAGAGGGGTTGGGACGAGCGTTGACGCTCGTGGCCGCGAGAGCGGAGACAAGGGCGATGAGGTTGGTGAGCTGCATTATGGATGTTGCTGGATGCTGGAATGGAATATTAAAGTTGGATGATGAGAAGATAATGGTATGACGAGCCTGTCTCTTATACTTCTTCGCTTCCTGTCTCCCTTGGAACATCTGTACTAGCAGTACGTTGATGATGCTCTTGGAGGTAAGACCTAACTCCCTTTCAAGCTTCTCAACAGTCGGTCAACACCGCCACCAACTGGTCGTGTTGAAGTCATACGCTTCCAAGCCGCCACACATAACCTGATGAGGTATCTTGAGAATCCACGAGCCTGAGATGTATGCCTCGCTGCCCGTATCCTGGGTCAGAAGATGTAGTATTCCACGATGTGATACGAGATCTGATCTTGCATTCGCCTGCATTGTCGCATGTCCGAGGACCGGATTGGTTGGATTGTTCACGTCACCAACGGAAATGCTCCCCGCGACCTCATCTTGGCTCGTGTACATGTGTTGGTGGATGAGGTAGTGGGAAGTCATCTGTGCATCTGACGAAAAGCTGACGGACTACTCTGAATCAACGATCTATACAGGAAACTTTCGTTCCGATCCTAGCCTTTTCGTGCCGTCTCGAAATCCAGAAAACCGTATTCAAAAGCGATGATGGAGTAACAAAAGCTCCCTCATCTTCTATAGGGCCCTCTCTGGCGATCTACTGCACACGCACCGTCAACACTACTTCTACTTCTACGCCACATATAGGTACAGTGTTGATATCAACGCCACCAGTTCCGATTAGCAATTTCCTGCCACGCTCTTGGGCTATGTATAAGCTGACGCCCACACAGCGGAGTTCATTGGCATAGCGCAATTGCCCGTGCGCATGGCTGCTCACCAAGTCCACAAGCAGCAGGTCAACACAACTGCTGTCGCTACATCTGCAGCGACTGCGATCCATCGCGGCAAAAGGCCGTCAACCACCAGATACTAACAACACTTTCATGAGACTAGAGCGAGTGTTACGGCGGCCATGTTGCGACACTAATTCTTGGATTGAATGCGCATGAGTAGGTTGCTCTGAGGACGCAGGCCGCAGTCGCTTGAGCAACGTGCATGCAGACGCGACGGCCCATCGCGCTGACGCGACACGGGATGTGTGCTTGCCGCGACCTTCCGCTCTCAATCTAGGCCACGCTGTCATTTGCCAGACTTGAGGTTGGCAGGAAGCTCGGTCGCTGGAGGCTTACTAAACTTGTTGCGTATCCTTTGCGATTGGATCGCAGTGTCGGCTCGCGTCTTGGTAAAGGTGTGCTTTGGCACAACGTCGCCAAGTAGTCGGACTCTGCGCATGACATGGCACGGAATTGAATGTCTGAACTGGGAAAGATGAAGACGAGGAAGCCAATTGATGAAGTGACGCGTCGTACGCCTCATACCAGATCTCGATTCTCATCTCTTCCCGCATCATTCCCCCACCTTACACTTCCCCATGATCTAGTTCTTCCATCGCTACCTCCTTCTCCCGAATCCTGACTTGCTATCCTCATCTCCACTCCATCCGGGCCGACACTCGCACCCAAGCTAGTTGTTCTAGAGCCTATAGAGGGGCTATTGTGGAACTTAGGGTTGCGTGCAGCGTGCACGAGGTCCTGCATCTTTTTGCCGGGCATGGCGCCATCGCGAACGTACGATGTCAAGCCAAGAATAACGCAGATGATGGCGAATACGTTGGCGAGGGCATATGGGATGAACAGCCCGCAGGCTTTGTAGTCGTAGCGATTTACGTCGGTGGTCAGTTGGACAGTTGTGTTCGCCATGTTGCTGTACTGATTAGCTTACCATTCGATCGAGAAGCGCTTGTTTACTTACGTCAGTAACCGGTTATGCATCATGCTGACCGTCAAATTGAAGCTTAGTTCTTCGATGAGAACGTCCAGTGTCCGGTTTCTCGCCATCGCTTTGTCCTGTAGCCTCTGATCACTGAGCTTGAAGGCTGTTGACATATTCTGCCCTTTGTACAACACCTTCTCTTCGTCAAACTCAAAGTATGCATCCAGATCGGCAGAGCCCAACAGACTAGTACGCTGTATGGGCGAGTCGATGACACCGTACTGAGCTGCCGCTTGCTTGTCTGAGATGCTTGTGTCATTAAGCCATGCTAGCTTGCCTACCAGTTGGTCGCACATAACCCACATGAATGCTGTATACGCATGTTGAGTCATGTTGGAGATCTCATCAGGTCCCTCGTCTGGAAACGAGATCGTTTCTCCGACTTCGTATTTGCCGGATACGTTCTGTAGCCCATGATACTGCGAGATCTCCAAACTGTACGACGCGTTGTGAGGTCGACAGATCTGGTACTGGCGTAATTTGACCCGCTCGCCTTGGTCGTTGATAATGGGCCGCAGAAACGTCATCCAAAGCTCGTTCATTGGCTTCGAAGGTACGTGTTGACGAGGATGCGAAACTGCTGTGAGGCCTCCAGTGCTATTATGAGTTGGCACGAAGCTAAAGTATGCATTATCCGTCTCTACGAGTGTGCCATCCACTGTTGTCATTTCCTCTTGCAGGAAAGCGTCGATAGCATGCTCTTCCGTCTCATTGGCTTTGCCACATCTGATAACCGGAGCATAGAAATCTACGGTGTAGGCGGAATTGTTGAAAGGCAGATCCAGTGGTAGTACCTCACCAAGGGATGAAGTAGCAGTACCCAAGAGATTCATAACGGTCCTTGGTCCAGTAAATATCCGGTTCTTGTCATCAAAGTACTGTGTCGTACCGGGCCGACTGGGCGGCGAGTAGGTATATCGATGCGCTTCGCTGGC